ATTGCCTTATATATTATAGTAATAATTGTAATAAATAATTAAAACAATTCATATATATATAACATAAAATAGACATTATAATACATACTGTATTTATTATCTATTTTGTTGCATTATGGCAGTTTGGTATTTATATATGATAAATAACAATAAAATATTACTTAGCATGACATTTGTTACATTAATAAATGTATTATATATAAATGATAGTAATCATATTTTTTGCATTATGGTAATGAGAATTTGGGGGGAAATTTTCTTAATTAAAATAAGGATGTATTAATTTTTGTTTCTTGTGTTTCTTCTGATCAGACACCTTATCTCATTTTGTAACTGATGTAATACCTTTTTATATGTCTGCTAAAAATCTATAAAAAAAATGGGGATAAAATAAAATAATGCAAATAATCTTAATGATCCTAAAAATTGGCTTAATTTTCTTCTTGCAGAAGAAAGCAGTGAAGTTTGAGCTGTGAATTATGATCCAGACATTTTTATCTTTTATTTTTGTTAAGCTAATGGAAACCGCTTTGTGGGCACCTGGAGCGTCGGACAGAAAAACGGACACGGCAAGTTCTGCTACCTGGACAGAGGTCAGCTGTATGAAGGCTTTTGGGTTGACGGTGTTGCTAAGTGTGGAACCGTGTTTGATTTTGGGAGAGAAGCAGCAGTTAGACCAACAGTGTATCCAATTCCCAAGGTAAATGATTAACGCTGATGTTTGCTCATTTGCATGATTTCCATTTTAATAGTAATGCATAAAGCATTACCGATAATACAAGCTTTCAGTCATAGGTTCTGACCACTGTGACAGCAAACAGCTCAAAATGTTTCGTCATTTTGCATGGTTTGTTACCAAATGCAGATTCAGAAATGCTGTGGAATTACATCAACTCTGCTTTTATGTCCAAAGGTTTGCCTACAGGACTCACAGGCTGTGCTGATGGAGGCACAAGCATATTTCACCGAGGACAAGGAGAAATCAACAGAGACCACGATTCCAAATCACATGGTTGCTAGGCAATATGTACCTTGACTATATCCTGAAATCCAAAAAGGCAGACTAGTGCAGTGAAATACGTTTTATCAACCCCTCACACACAATAAAAACACTATCACACAATACATAAAAGCTGTTGGTACATTCTGCATCTACTAGTATTGAACAAAATGGCAAGATTTTGTTTTTGGCAAGAAATGCATGTCATACATGACATAAAAGAACACAAAAAGGTGTTTGGTTGAAGTTGGTCTGATTAAGACTTTAATTAAAATGTATAAAACTGGGCTTTTAAATTCCAGCACATGCTGTGCACTAATAAAAAGAGCTTCTTAATCAAACTTTACACAAGCTGTTTGCACAAGATGGATATTATTTCACAAACTTCTGGGAAAAAATCATTGTATTTCAATTTGGCAATACTGAACATGTTAATTTAATGTTTTTCACCAATGCTGCTGATGTAACTACATGCTTAAACGGTCCTCTGCTTAATAAATACTTTATAAAAATGTGTTTGCTAGCATAATCACACAATCCTGCCAGCCCTTTAGCCGTGACGGCTCTAAGCACTTGCGTCCAACTTCAGAGTGAACAGAGGCCCCTTTAATGGGAAGCTGTTTCAAATACTACCAAAAAAGGTCAGACAAACATGTTGATAAAGTGCCTTCGTTTCTACTAAGATGTGCTCATTCAGGGGGTTCATTTAGGAGAACAATGGAGTTTGAATAAGACTGATTTTTGGTTTTGATTCAGCTGTTCAACAGCAAAGCCCTGATTCAGAACGCATCAAAATTATTTGGTCAAGTGGACATAAAAGTGTCCCCTGTACTGTAATAACTTCAAACACATTACAAGTGTTTTTGTAATATACACTCATGTCTGTAAGAATGCAGCTTGCCTTGTGTGAAAATAAAATCCTTGTAAGTAACAAAATTGGCACAGCTGCCATACTGAAATGAAGGATTTTCCCTGTGGTGAATTAAAGGAATAGTTTACCCAAAAATGAAAAAATTGCTGAAAATTTACTCAACCTCAGGCCACTCATGTAGATGAGTTTGGAGCAGATTTTATAAATTTAGATTAGAGAAATGTAGCATTACATCACTACATGGATCCTCTGCAGTGAATGGGTGCCATCAGAATGAGAGTCCA